TGAGATTTTGATGATTTTGACAATTTGAATTTGAATGAGCTTTATCTTGATTTTTTTTTTAGATTTATAACTAAAGATTTCTTATGCATCAATCAAGATATTATATCAATTTTTCTCCTATAGTTCTTTTTGCCCATTGTTTAAGAGAAAATAAATGATCAAAATGTTGATTTATTGATGAATGTTTGGTACCAACAATCATGAAGAGATAAATGGTTAAAAATATTGATTTAATGTTTGGTATCATGAATGCTTTATTATCATGCATGGGAGTAATGATGAAGGTTTTGAACACAAATGTTTGTATCATGTTTGATGATTTTACATTTTGAAATTATGCATGATGAGTTGAAGTGATGTTGGTTTAAATGTATAAATCAACAATCTTTTTGTCAAATGAATCATGATTTTTGTTAATTCATGAATTATAACTTGAGTTTTCTTTTTGAATCAAGATCGTTTCTTATCATGCTTTCTATTTACAAAAAAGAAGAAACATGTCAAAAATGAGATATGATCTTTTGACATTCATTTTTGTTGTTTACCTTTGTCATGATTTGGAAATTGATATAAAAGAAAAAGAATTACAACATTGTATTATTCCCTTCTATTTGACAATGACAAAGGGGGAACAAAACTTGCTAGAAAGCAAAATTAATAAGCTTGCACTTCTCAAAAGAGAAGAATGAATGATGCTATCTTGTGAATTTTGCTAAGTTACACATTGCAAGAAAATGATGCTATCTTGTGAATTTTGCTAAGTTACACATTGCAAGAAAATGCAAAAATGATGCTATCTTGTGCATTTCAAAAATTTGCTAGAAAAGCAAATATGCCAACTTGCATATCTTTAAATTTTTCTAGCTTGTATGTTGTAAACTTGCTATCTTACTACCTTGCATATCTACAACATGATAGCTTGCATGATGTAGCACTTGTTAAATTTTCTAGCTTACAAATTGCATGATGATAAAACTTGATATTATGTTTTTTATGCAATGATTTGAATTTGTATTTCCAAACACTAGAAAGTTATACTTC